ATAAAATGCACATGATATCAGAGCTAGCCTTTTAACAGAAGATAGCATAATGAAGAATTTGGTGTATTTATACTAGAGACAATGAGAAAACTCTGCTAGCCTCATCTAAATAAATCATATTTCTACAATACATTCTGTTACCTTCCTCTATTTTCACCTAAGCACACATTCATCTCTCTCACACACGTGCCCCCAATGTATATTTTTGCATGTGTGTAAAACCACAGAGACATGCACACAAGTAATTTAATTATATTTTTAAGTCACAGTGGGAATTCCTTAGTGAGGAGGGATAAAAAGTTCCTGAATAAGACACTGAGAACATCTAGATTTATTATTTTCTCTATTTTACTTCCCAACTTACAGAATAAACTGTAAATTAAAGAATAAATCCATAGGAAATAAAAGAGGTCTTAAAAACTTAGTTTACAAATTCCAGCTACAGTAGTTGGGAGTTTTGCTTGATCTATGTATTTCTATTTACCCTGTAACTAAGCTTCTAGCCATCTTAAGTGTAAACCACAGATCATTTACTAAAGAAACACAATTCCCAACAGTTCTAATGAGCAGTAATAAATGGTCTAAAGGTGTTCTACATTTTGAGGCCCCAGGATAGCCTTTTATTTTATATATCTGCAAGGTAGCAAAGGATAGCTATACACCTTGACACGGCAGAGATCCAGTGTAAAAAGGTGCTTCACTAGTTTTTGTCAAAAAAAAAAAAAAAAAAGCTCATATATAATTTTTTAAGCTATTAAAACACATAGGCAACATAATTCATTACACTCAATACAGCTTTAGTATAAAACTTATAATTTATGAGGTGATGTTAATAGTATAAATTAATATACGTTTTCTCTTAAAATCTACAATAAGTATTCTGAAAGCTCATTGGGGAAGGAAATTTTTAAATAAAACTTTTAAAGCTGTGCGTGATGGGAAAGGATTCTGTTTGCTGAAGCAGAGATGAGAGCCTGAAGGAGAAAGGAAAAAAGTCCTACTCAAGACATGGTGGGCTACGAAACCGAACGTTTTCTCTTTCTTGCGCTCTCTTTAATGATGAGTCACCTTTAGTTTCTTTTAAAACTATTTTCTTATTTTAAAAACTGCCCTAATTTCCACAAGGAATCCCTGAGACATACTCAACACTATACAGTGAAAAGAATAATCACTGTGAAGAGGGACTGATTTCAACCCTTCCGAGCAGATGAAGACAATGTCACAAGCATCCAACTTCCCATCACTTGCACACTCATCTGCTGGAGCCAACGGGGCCTTAACGACGCAGGGTGGAGTCAGTTCAGGGCAAATCAGTCTATTCCCCAAGCAAAAGCAATGGTGTGGCATTTCGCAGCACTGCATGTTGAACATTTTTCCAAGGGGAACTTTGGGTGCATACAGAGCTTACTTCAGTGGTCCCCAGCTCAAAAAAAGAAAACAAACAAAAACAAAACAAAACAAAACCAAATGGAAGAGGCGGCTTTTATTACTTAGGTCAGGATCAGGGCAGATCAGGGGTGCGTGGGTAGACTTGAGGACCTGGGGGGGGGGGGAGGTTGTGGAGGCCAGCAGGCAGGAGGGAAAAGGGAAGGAGAGCTGGGCTGCCCAAACAGGGCTTACTAACAGACAGCTTTTCTCTTACAACACTGTTTTTCAGACTCAACTTTAGATCCCCCAAAACTCTGCCACTCAAAGTAGTCAAACATTCCCAAGATGTGGGAACCTAGTTTCCGGTAAAGAAAGTCATACCAAATTTGCTCTCTCTCCGAAATGCCACCCGTCCTTTATTGGCTCTGTATCACAGTGCAGAGAAAGGGAAGCTAACAGAAATTAGAGCTGAAGGGAAAGAGTGTTTTTGCTATTTAGAAATGAGGCTCTCCAAGTCGGCCCCACAGTTTTTGCATTAATGACACTGACTATTAGGAGACATAATTATTCACTTGTATTTTAGGTTTTCTTTCCCAACTCACTGGTCAGGGGGAAATGCTTAACAGATAAGATACCCAAATATGTTCTTCACTGGTATTTTATTTCAAATCTTTTGAAAGATAGCATTTAAAGTGTTACTTTAATCTACTAAGCATGGATTCTAGTTCCCTCCAGAATAGGATATTGGAGAGCTCATAAGGCTCCAGATATTAGGAAGTCATTGTTTAACCCTTCTACAGAATGCCAGTGAAGATTCCGTATTTCCAATGTATTGTGAGAGGAAAAAAAAAAATCTATGTTCTATATTTCCACCTCCTACCTCACCCCCAAGAAATGTATTTCTCATCAGAAAAAAATCCTTGGAACGACGTAGGTGTTGGTGATGAAAGAGATACAGATGAAGACTATTCAGTATGACTACATTTTCTTCTAAGGAATCCTTGAAATTGCCTCATTCACCTGCAGAGTTCTGTTGACCATGCAGAAGACCACTGTATTATATTAATCTATATATACCAGATTAAAAACAGAATTTAGTAGAATGTTAAAAGGCTAAAATGAAAGAGGCTGAAGAATCTGAAAACTAGATACCTAAAAAAATTTTTTAAATGAATTCCAAATCTATTAAATCATGAGTTTAGTGTTATGAATATCCTCATCTTTTTGCAATACCAATCCACAACCACCTACGGAACTGACTCGGAGAGAAGGCGATCGCCTCACACAAACATTGCTGATGCAGCCTACGACCGCCATCACCACCCCCATGATGCAAGGGCGCAGGAAAGACTGCAGGCAAGTAACATGAGCTGATGGCGCGGGAGTTACCGACATAGACTCAAAAGTCTAGGGCCAACTGATAAAAACCCCGAATGGTACAGGGGTATGTGTGACTGGCTCAGTCGTAGAGCATGTGACTCTTGATCTCAGGGTTGTGAGTTCAAGCCCCACAATGGGTGTGGAGCCTACTTAAAATAAAACAAAACAAAACAAAACTGAATGGTACAGGTCAACAGAAATATAAATTCTTTCACATAAGAAGAAAGCTTACAGATTGGGCATGGATCACAGACACTGTTTCCTTCCAAATCAAAGCACTGTCTTTGCCTCTGGGTTGTGATGAAGGACTACAAATGAGCTCTGATAAGGAAAAGCTTTAGTGTTAGTCACAGAAAGTGAGGATTCTTAGCTTGCAGTTGAGAGACTGGGCTTGTTGAAGAAATAAATCTTATAAATAATTATTTGGCAAAGATAAAGTATTAGCTTTCTTTAGCCTGACGCCACTCAAGACGGTAACTACAATTTTAAGGAAAAGGGGGGAAAAAAACACCCCACATTTTCCAACTTTATCTCCATACCTACTATTTGCTTCTCATTAAATTATAATCTTTTCGTGGAGGGTCCTCAGACACACCGCAGTGCCTGCCAGCATGAAATTGCTCAGGAAGTCATTTATAAAGCAGTTCTATCTCACATGGTAGGTTACTAGAGAGGGGAAAAAAAATCCTTCACCGTATAAGCTATGTGACGATAATTACAAAATTTTTCCATTGCATAGTCTGTCATTTGGTGGGTTAAGTGTAATTGCTATTTACTATTGTGAATTGTTTACTAACTACATAACCTACGCAGATGTGCAAATTACTAAGCCATTTTTACAGAGGAAAAAACAATGTCTTAAGTACTTTAATTAAAATAATATTAACACTTACGTAGAGAGAGTAAAGGAGAGAAAACACATCTTTTCTTCGATGCTATAAGATCACAGCCAGTGAGTATCATTCCTTAGAATGGAATTCAGATTCTCCCAGTACAGAATGTATCCATGAACTGCAGCAACTTTGTAAATAAATCACATTAACACAATCTAACTGGCCTTTATAAATGGTCCCAAAGAACTGCAGAAATAGAGTGAACTTCTCTGCCACCATTTCTCATGAGTTTCCAAAAAAAAAAAAAAAAAGCTAGTTTCCACCTAATTAGGACCTTACATAAAATTTGCTTTTGATTCCAGTATTGCCTTATGATAGCGTAAGTGCTATTTGAATGACACAAATTTTCGTATTTCTGGAGTAAAAGACACTTCGTTCCTTTCTCTACACATGAACAGCAAACCTACTACTAACAGACTAGAATTGCTCTGCATTAGCTAAAAGAAAAACCTACCGGGTTATCTCTGGGTTCACAGATGTTCTTCTCTCTTCCCAAAAGGGATCACAAGAAGCTGCAAGAGCAAAGCAAACTGCAAGCTTGGATGTTGGTTTTGAAGGAGACGAAATGAGAGGACAAATTTGTTGGGGTTTTTTGTTTTGTTTTGTTTTTGTTTGCTAATTCCTCAAACCTACACTGGTACTTCCTACGGGCGCCCCTTTTTCAGCTATCCCTGTGGGCATCTAAACAAAAATGAACTGACTCAAAGTTTTTGGTGTGAAGCTGAAACTGGCAACATTCCTGATCATTTTATGCCTCCTTACTAGAAAGCAGGAAAGGGCTTTTCAATGCACGTAAAACAGAAAATTGCAAACAAGAAAATGTGCAACTTACTGCAAACTCAGTTTTGATAACTGAAGAATTTTAAGCAGCTACCACGAGGGATGAAGAGCCAGAGAAGTTCAAACCGACTGCCCAGGACTTTCCCTTTGCTGTCAGAGGGGGCTGGTAGATAAGACAGCTGGTGTGCTGCTACAACCTGGGATGAGCACACGATGGAGACTAGAGCGACTGCTGGGAACAGACAGTTATCTAGGGGTAATTAGAAGGGGAAGTGAAAGAGCAGAACAAATGAAGTGATACTTTTGAGCAGAGGTAACTACTCATCATCATTTCATTACAGTACATTAAAATAAAAAAGCTTCCTAACATAGGTTCACAGGTGAGAGATGCTCAAATGATCTGTCCTCACCATTCAGAATAGAAATTTATGGTGATACCAAATATAATTTTGCTTTGTGACACAATTTATAATTTAGAAATTTCTCAATCTGCAAAAAAGGCAAAGCTATTAAAAAATAAATCTTCCAATCAATTATCATGATTAAAAAAAAACCTAAATATATTACAAATGTATTTTTGGCCCACAAAAAGAAAACTTCAATAAATACAAAATAGGGCATATAATGATTTCATACAGTCATGTGACATTTCCCCTCCATAATCTCAGGCACGTGTATCTGCATAATGCCTGCTGATCACCATCATTCCTTTAAAAAGCAGAGAAAGAAAAGCTTTCAAAAGAAGGGACTGGTTAGAATTAGCATGGCATAAAGAGAATACATATAGGAAGTAGGAAAATACATCCAAATCTTTACCTATTGAAAAGGAATTAAGATCAAATATTCCCTGACAAATGAATTATATCACATCATTAATAGATATGTTCTTTCTACTCATCTTTTAAAATATATATATGTAAATTAGACTAGACTCAGGTATAAATAGCCAATGGTATCTCAGGGGACAGTGAAACTTCTCAGCAAAAGCAGAGCACAGATGCCTTTAGAATCTAGTTCCACCCTTGGGGAGGGGGCCGGGGAGAAGGCAGGTAAAAAGAAACCTCATAGATTTATTTCATAGTCACCAACTCACTAAACTACCCAATATGATTTTTAACCCTAAAATCCTGGTACTTTAAAAAAAAAAATTTCCCCAAACTTAAACCTAAGTACTTCAATTATTTTAAAAGTACCAAAGGGTGGGTACAATTTATGTCTAATTTCCATATTCTGCTTTGAAAGAAACTTTAAAATGTGTATCCTTCAGATATTACATATCACTTCACAACTGGTACATTGATTCTACAAGTGTCTTCAACATTTTACAAATCTTACCGAAGAATCACTACTGTAAACATGGAAAAGTCAAAAGTAAAAGACGGATCAAGGAGTTCAGAGATCCCATCTTTCCAAATCTAGCTGACCTATCCTGCTTTTCACATCAAAATATGGTCTTTTTATAATTACATCTCGTGAACGTATTCCATGAGAGGGATGCAGAAACAAAATGCACGTCTAAAAAGGCAAAGTAACCACTGGACCTCAGAATCTCAGGAACCCTGCAGTCACTCCACGCAAGCTTTCTGTGGCGTCCCCATGGCCCTGACGTGAATTCGGCTTTCTGCGTTCTTGGATCACCGAGCAAAACGGGCTTGTGCAATTCGCATCATCAGCCCACCACCCTCTGTGCGCGGGAGACTTCGCTAATTCAGGGGGAAAGAATGACCAACCTGATGAGGGTTCTGAGATGTGGGAAAGGAGAAGTCAGAGCCTTAAACTAGTTAGGAGAAAAAAAATAGTAAAACAACAACAACAACAACAACAACAACGGGACAGCTGCTTCCTGCCCTGCACAAACACACACACATGGGAGTACACATACACAAAGGCGGTCAAAAGACTAATTTTTTTCTTTTTAATTGAACATGATCACAATTAGGGATGGAATCCTGGCCTCATGTGGTGTCTAGCAGTTGGTGCTAAGGCAGAGCCTCGATCTGCCCGCTATGCACCACCTGCTACCACTTACACAGGAACTCAATGAATAGGACCATTCTATCTAGAACCACCTCCATAAAGACCTGGTCATAGAATGGAAAGCATTGATCTGAACACTAGGAAATAGTAAAGGGCACTGGTAATCTGAGGTATCTTCCACTTCTAGGACTTGCTGCTAAAAATCAACTCTAGCCAGTCACTGTGCTGAGCCACTAAGGAAACCATCGGGGTAGAGAGAACCCGCCAGGAGGGAATGAGCACCAGTGCGAAGGAGCACGCGTGAACACTGAAGCAAGGTCCGCCGCAGGCTTGCTTGCTGAACCGGGAAAGGGAGTTCCCCTTTAGTCCCCATCTGTTATTTTTAAAATCTTTAGGAAAAGGGGGAAAGGGATGCTAAACAGGAAACAAAGATAGAAAACACCAGGTTCCCCACCTGCCTGCAAACACACAGACACGCTCAGTTAGGGGAGGTAAAGGGAGAAGATGCATTATTGGTACTTGTAGCTGTGGCACCTGTTACTGTGAAGCCTGTAGGAGGGGCTATCGAGCTGTGGCTGGGCTGCAGGTCCTTAGGAATGCCACTGTGAGAACTCAGCTGGTGGCCGAAGGCTGCGCTGAACTGAGGGAGCTGCTGCTTGGGAGAGGTGGAGGCCATGAGTTCAGCAGAAGGCCCCATGCCACTGAAGCTGGTCTGCGGTAACCCCGGAAGCACACTGGAGCTGCTGGGGGTCACGGTGGCGAAGGCAGGCTGTGTGGTCTCTGAGTTCGACGTGGTGGGTGGTGTGGATAGGGAAGTGGAAAGAAGATGTCCATCTGCGCCGAGAAGGTTGCTAAATGGAGAGGGATCTCCAAGGTTGACAGGGAGATTGCCCCAGTGAGTTCTGGGGTTTACGACTCCTCCAAGTGGCACCTCGAGTTGGGTTGGGAGCAAGTGCTGCGCCATGATGGGCATCTCTGCTGAAAAGGTAGCTGCCATATTATCACCAGAATAAGATGTTGTGTGGGGAGAGGTGATATGGTCACTATAGGGAGACGGCACGTGCTCACTATCATAATGGCTTCCATGGGGCGAGGAGTGTGAATGATCACTGCTGTATTGCTGTCGTGAGGTGATTAGGTCATCTGCCTTGCTCAGCAGCTGGGCAGGATGTGGCCTCTGGGAGGCATGGCTGCCATCATGTAGTCCATGAAACTGTCCTGGGAAGGCTCTCTCCCCAAGTGCACTCTGGCTGATCAGAGTGGCAGAAGTAAGGCCAACGTTGGCTGGGGCAGAGAACTGCCCCTGGATCTGCCCTGCCAGGGGTGTAGGTGGGTTAGACAAGGTAGCAGAACGGAGCAGGTTCTCATCCAGCTCTAGACTAGAAAAATTATCATGTACTATGCGCCCATTCAATAGCTCCCCTAGGTCCGTGTTAACTTCTCGGCTCAAGGACTGAATTCCTGAAGCTCCAGTACCTGTGGAGAACACCCCTATTCCTCTATCTGACAACTCCTGGACTGGCACACCATCTGACTGGGTAAGTACCCCAATGGTACTCAGGCACTCAAGAGAAGTTACAGCCTGCAAGGCCCGTTCAAGTTCCTCGGCCTCTTCGGTAGTTGGAAGGAGGTCTCCATTCTTTCCTGAGGAAAACAAAAGCCATCAAGAATCAGCAGAGCTTTTACTGGTGCCATACCATAAAACCATACATCTGAATTACTTTTTAACAATATTCTATTAAAGGGGCGCCTGGGTGGCTCAGTCAGTTGAGCTCTGACTCTTGATTTAGCTCAGGTCATGATCTCAGGTTCGTGAGATAGAGCCCCAAGTTGGGCTCCATGCTGAGCGTCCAAGTCTTCTTAAAAGTTTCTCTCTCCCTCTGCCCCTCCCCCCGCACACACACCCTCTCCCTCTCAAAAAAATAAACCATAAAAAAAAAAAATAACAAACAACAACAACAACAACAAACCACGGGCGCCTGTGTGGCTCAGTTGGTTAAGCGTCAGACTCTTGATTTCAGTTCCGGTTATCATCTCAGGGTCGTGGGATCAAGCCCCAGGTGGGGCTTCACGCTCAGTGGGGAGTCTGAGAGTCTCTCCCTCTGCCCCTCCCCCCACACGTGAGTGCTCGCTAATAAATAAGTAAATCTTTAAAACCAAACCAAACCAACATTCTATTTAAAGAGAATCCCTGTGAAATAGAGAATCTTCCAAGGACTGGATTGGAACGAAAGAGTGAATATGAATCCATAGAGAGGTCGAGCTGTCCTGGAACCTGCATCACATCTTCAGTTTATTCACAGCACTCCCTAAACCCAACTCATCAGAGCATTAAATTCTTAAGGATTCTAAGCAATACCAACTTAAAAAGCATGGTGACCAGTCTAACTACACGTATGGTTTTACGTAAACTTATATGTTAAAATCATTAAAATAGGAAACATATCATATTGGTTCAGACTGCAGACAAAAAGCTGTGTAGGAGTCCCCCCTTGGTTCTTCTGCTCTTGAACTCCTTCCTCCAGCTGGAGGGCGGCTGCAGAAGACTGGAATAGAGCGACTCATGCTTGCATGTGAGCACCCCGCACTCCCCTCCACTCAGACGTTATCTTTTAAAATGCTTTTGTGTGACCTGTTAAACCTGCTCCTCTCGTTCTAACTAATTTTCGTAAGATGGAAGCCCGTGGGTCGCTGCTGATTTCATTTCCAATATAAAAAATCTAGGGATGCCTGGGTGGTTCAGGTCATGATCCCAGGGTCCTGGGTTCAAGTCCTGCATCGGGCTCCTTGCTCTGCAGAGAGGCTGCTTCTCCTGCCCGCTGCTCTGCCTGCTCGCGCTGTCAAATAAATAAAATCTTAAAACAAAACAAAACAAAACAAAACAACTCTATAGTGGGGAATTTGACTAATCACCACAAAAATACCCAGTTTTTAATGGGGAAAGAAACATTCTAAGAATATAAAAGCTTTCCCCTGAAAGCACCAGAGAACTGGTGGGACTAAGCAAACTTAGTTTTGGAAAAATGCACTTCAACTGACATACAGGTATTAAGATTAGGACAAGTTCTAAAAGGCTCCAATTAACTCAAGTTTAAAATGTTTCTGTTGGGACACCTGGTTGGCCCAGTCGTTAAGCGTCTGCCTATGGCTCAGGTCATGATCCCAAGGTTCTGGGATCGAGCCCCGCATCGGGCTCCCTGCTCAGCAGGAGGCCTGCTTCTCCCTCTGCCTCCTGCTCCCCCTGGTTGTGCGTGCTCTTTCTCTGACAAATAAATAAAATCTTTAAAAAAAAAAGTTTTTGTTGAAAAATGAAGTAAAATGACTCATTTTTGAAGCAACAAAGTTAAAAACCTAACAACTGAATGATCAATCTACTAAGCCTACAGTATGGTGAGAAAAACCACACAGCCCTTGCCTTCTGGAACGGGAAAATAGCTATAGTGGTGCTGCATTTTCTATCTGTGAGGAGGGGTACTTCAAACACATCTCAAAAACACAATTTCCCTTTTCAAAAACTCATTAAAAAAAAAAAAAGTCTTGAATCAAAATGTTGACCACACCTTCAAAAAAATCAAAATCTTGTAAGTCATCAGGTAGCCGTGGCAGGACGTCTGAAAAGTCCTCCTGGTTCAATTCCAAGTCATGTGGAATGTCAGTGATCTCATTGGCAATGTCATCCGGCAACTCATCAGCACTCAGCTCCGGCGTGGACGGGCTCCTAGGGAAGAAGACATGGTTGGCCCCACCACTCCCCTTTTCCCTTCACACCAGTGTCCCCAAGACAAGTTCATCAAACAGGAAGATGGGAAATCCTAACTCAAACTGTCTCCTTTTCCTACTTTCAGAGAAGGAAATGTGAAAGCAAAAGGAAGACCTCGCCATCCAGTCACACATTTCTGCAGCTTTTAACCAGGTATTAATGAAGGCAACCATTTTGAGATGGTACTTCTAACTTCAAATTAGTAGAATGAATTAGTTTTGTGCACTATGTCTTCATACTTTTTAGTAAATTTCAAATCTAGTCGAAATAATAATTTTTAAAAATGACATAAACAGATAAAATAGAGATGCTTAGCTGAAACAGAAGCCTCATTCATCTGGTGAAAATGCTAACCCCTGCCAAAATTAGTAATGCATTAGAATTCTGACGGAATATTTCTGTTGAAACAGAAAAATCTTGAGTAGACAAATTCTCATTTTCGGCATCTGCTTTCTGTGTTATTACCAAAAGCTTTATTTCAGATCTCACTCAGTCAAATATTTAGTAAAAATTACACTGAAATCTACAAAGCCTAGGCTAATTTATCAAAATGGCTTCTGGAGGCCAGCCACAATGCTAGAGAAGAACGTAAGCTAGATGTTCTGAGAACCATCGAACACAGAAAGGAAATGTAAGCTTTGGCACCGTCACTGACCGGATCTGAGCAGCCTCCACTGGCAGTGAGACGCTGGTGGGCATGCTGAGGTTCCCTTGGGGTACTGCAGGGGGAATGGGTTTTTGGGGTCGACGAGGTCCACGCCTTCTCTTCTTCTTGTGTTTTTTGGTAAGTGCAGGAGGCTTGGTTTTTTTCCTGGGTTTCCTCTGCTGCTGGTGCTGAACTTTACGGGAGCTATCTCCTCTCAAGAAATTATCCTTCGGAATGAATAAATGGGTACTTTTAAACTAGACTGTTTAGGAAAAACCTAACAGCTACCTGAAAAAAATGTATCTCTTAACATTCTATGGAATGCCTAAAGCACACTGCATGGCTACAACTATGCATAGCAATAAATGAATAAACAATTCATTTTTTAATTTAATTCAAATCAATTCAATATATACACACAGTTCATCCCACACTGTGAGACCATGGCAGGCCAAGGGGGAGGTGCAGGTGGGTAGAAGGGACGGGGAGGGGAAAAAAAAGACATTGGGATAGGTGCTGTAGTGTAAAAATATAGTGAATGAAATGTAATCGCGCTCTCAAACTTAACTCTTCCATAGGAAAACCATGAATACAAGTATACATAAATACAGTACAGAAAAAAGAGGGTAACAGTGACCTTCTATGGGTGTACGAAAGGAAAACCAATTATTTGTAGTTTTGCATGATTAAAAGGAAATGGCACAAACAAGACAAAAAGAACAGCAAAAAACCAGGTATGACTGGTGCTTGGGGTGTGGCGTATGGAGGATGGAATGTGAATGTAAGCTGTAAAGTTTAGGACGAGATCATATATGACTTTGAATACCGTTAAGGATTTTCAACTTCATCTTATAGGCAATGTGAAATGATTTTTGACGAAAGGATTAACACAATTTGACATGTTTTGAAAGGAGTAACTAGGCTGGTAGCAAGGTAAAGGGACAGACAAAAGGTAAGTGGAGGGAGGCATTATTTCCAATCAGAGGGCCACTCCAACAGTCAATACAAGGCAAACGACTAAGGCGATGTGAGTGGGAATGGAAAAGCAAGGCCCTGTAGGGACAGAATTCTCAAGATTTGACAGCTCCTTGGATGTGGTGAGGATGAAGGGAAGAGAGCAGTCGAAGACACTTCTAGGGTTTCTAGGGTTGACTGTTAGATGATATCATTAGTTGGTACAGAGCACAGCAGAGTAAGGATTCAGAAGAAAAGTTAAGGAATTCAGTTTGGCTCACAATTTGAGGTACGAAGATGTCCCAGGAGATAGGAGAACACGGTATAAGGGATAAAGAATGGGGTGGAGATGTAGCCGCAGAAATCATGATACAGTAAAAGTCTGTCCAGTCATTGACACAGGCCAGGGAGACAGGTAAAGAGAGACCATGGGACTTCAGTGTTATAAGACTGTTCTAATTACGTGAGCAGAGAGAGGAAGAACCAGCCAGGAAGAACAAGAAATTGACCAAATAATAATCAGCCTTCTTCAGCGGCCACCCTTCAATCTGAATACTGCGTTTCATTAGTTCCAAGACACACATTGTAGTGTCTCTGTAACTGAGGTCCATTTTACAATAATGGCATCTTACAATTGCTGTTGGCCCGGTGATGGTCACGAGAGTTGGCGCTGCCTATATATGTGCATATGTTCTTGGTACTGTTGCTGTTTTGAGTCGAGGGATGTGCATTATTGGTTTTACATGAAGAGGAAAAGCTGGAGTGTGCGGAAGCACAAAGAGAAGCAGCATATCCAACTGTCATTAGTGAAGCAAATACTCATTATTGAAGATCTGACCACAATTCCTTTCTTTTTTGTAAAGCAACCACCAAATGAGAAAGGAACACAACCACAAAGTAGACGAAACTGTGTTACAGTTGATGTACATAGAAAACACTGCCTTTCCTGCATCAAGTAATTCAGCGGAAACCAGGAGCATCAGAAAAGATAAAAATCTATGCCTGATTAAGTCTAAAGAAGCTATTTTGATAAATATAAAACAGAAACTGTAAGTGGTAAGAAATGCACTGTGCCCCATTTTTTAAATTTCTTGGTGGTATATAAAACAATCGTGGTTTTTACAACTGATGTCACCTTTTAGTGAATTCATTAATAACTCATAACTAAGTACATAAAAGGAGTACAAAATATTTGAAAACTAATAACTAAAACTAGTTATTAATACTAGCAAACAAATTCAAGACAAGAAAGAATAAAATTAAATTATCAATTCAGGAGATTCAAAAGAAGTTTAATACTAGCTGAATACTTGGATCTATATTACAGACTCAAGTCACAAATGTACAAATTCATGAAACAAACAAGCAAAAAAAGAAAGGCTGCTTCCCAGCGTCTGTAGTTCTTTGGCTCAATACTTGAGGTCTACTTTTATTATTATCAGCTATTTAATTCAACAAACAGTGAGCAACCACCAGTACCTACCAGGGTGCTGGGCATCCATCCCAGACTCTCCCCCTAGGACTAGTGTGGATGTTAGGCAGGAGAAAGTTTATCTAGCCCAAGATCTACATGTCCTACTTGTAAGACACTCCGGTACCACCTAGTTCTGGTTCTAGGTGTGTGTCTTGTCCTCCCAAGCTTATGCCTTGTAGCCCAACAATGTTGTTGGTCATGTGCCAGGTACTCCACACAGAACTGCCCCCGCCTGAGGCCCTGCGGGCTCTTGATAGTCCCCCACAGCGCTCCTCCAGAGCACTGGTGCCTCCAGGCCCTAGAGGCTTTCCTCATGCCATCTGTCCATTGCCTACACTATTCACTCCCAACTTGCTCACTGTCTCCTTCTACTTACGTGCCAGGACACTGCATTTGCTAACTTACCATCTGTCGCATGGGTTCATACTCATCGAATACCAAGTTCTGTGCATCAGCCTGGACTTCCTGTAGCTTGAGTTGCTTCTACCAATGGCTGTTCTGTCCAGTGGTTGAACCTAATTCCAAATTTCAACTTTCCCAGCCATGTGCCCAACTGTTATTCAACAATGACTTACTGAGCATTTTTGTTCTAAGCACTGGGGATATAGCAATGAACAAAAAAATGTTCCTGCCTTTGTCAAATTGACATTCTAGTAGAAGGATACTGGCAATAAACAAACTAATTAATAGATAATATAGTATTAGGCTGATATCACTGTTAGGAAGAAAAACCAGGTAGAGTATGAGGATAAAAAATGACAGGGGTGGAGAGGAGGTGGAAGATTTCTTTGATGAAGTGACATCTGATCGGAAACCTGAATGAAGGAGTGAGGCATGCAGAAATGGAGGAAAAGGGACAATCACAAAGCCCATGAGGTGGGAGCAAGCTTCCAAGTGCTGAAGCAGCAGCAAGAAGGCTGATGTTGCTAGAACTCCGAAAGTGAAGGGGGTACTATGTTATGTGCAGCTAGAGAGACTGCAAAGACCAGATCAGCAAGTCTCATAGGCCAGGGTGAGAATCTTGGATTTGATTCAGGATGTGATAGAAAGCCACTGGAAGGTTCTGACCAGGAAACTAAAACGATCACATGTATATTCTCAAAGTCCTGCTCTCATGGCCACATACTGTAGGATTCCAATTATAAGACATTCTGGAAAATGTAAAATTGTAGGGGCAGGAAGACTTCAGTGGAGACAGAGGGAGGGGTAGACTGCGGGGGGGGCGGGGATAACACAAGAGAATGTGGGGGGTTAATGGCGTATCTTGATTACGTCGGTGGTTACAGGACTGTGTATTGTCAAACTCAGAGAGCTGTGGAGCAAAAGGAGTGAATTTTACAGCACATGAACTCAAAGGGAGTGGAGCCCACACAGCCTACTCTAGCTGCTATGTGAACAATACGTCTGGGGGTAGGGGGAACGGCTAGAGGAAGGGGGACCAATTAGGAGACTATTAGAGTCATCCAGGCAAAGGTGAGAACAACGGAGGCTAGAATGGTAGCAGCCAAGCTGGTACTACATGCTTGGATTCAAGAACGTTTGAACATAGAGCCAAGAGATTTGTATGGTTTTTCTCATCCAGTGTGAGCCTCTCACTGTGGACTGATGGCTACAAATGTTTGCTGTACTCAGCTGGGATTTTTTTACTTAAAACAGTCCTTGTTACACATTTTGCTGGTGGTAACACCAGGATCACAGCCTTATACTATTAAGTCCTGGTCCAATGGCCGTGCCGTTACCCTGGTGCACCCTTAGAACTACAAAATGCTTACAGAGGGAAAGATTGGTCTTATTCAGCTTTTTAATACATATACCTTGCATACTACCTAGCAAAGAGCTGAACTCAGCCAAGTATCTGGGTAAAAACAATAAAAATGCACTTAATTACAGAAAAAATTGGCTCGTGGCTAAAATTTCATCAAATATCTAAGACATTTCACAGAATTGTATATAAAAAAGCAAAAATCTAAAGAAATGGGGCAAAGAAAGCTTGAAAAATCTGTTAAGTACAAGAAAATGTACCTTAAGGAGAAGGGAGGTATAGAATAGGGGTAGATAATAAACAAAATAACCATATGTAAGTAACTACTAAATACCTTCTAGAATAGTTTTTTTAAATTAGCTATGAAATTAATTGTGGATCATGACCAGCACATATATCTATATATATTAATATTATATTAATATTTATATGCATATTTATATATTTACACACACATATAGTTTGTACTAAGTCAACAGATACTTTCTACTGTGGATTGGTGTCCGTTTGAAAGTCTCTGCTGCAGAAAATAAAATGTGAACTCACCATTTTTTTGGCATGTTCTTCACACAGAGGGGTCTGGTGTGTAATGTCGAACACGGGCACAGAGCACTGCTGTCCGTCTGCAAACTTGGCCGTGCAACTTGAGAAAAGCTGCTGAGAGCGATTCAAGAGGATATCTGTAGTTTTCAAAGTTAGGAATATAATGCACTGAAACTCAAATTATTTAAGTTTTCAATTTTTATATGAAGTCTGCTTCTAGACCGCCTTGGGGGCACAGCTGGTTAAGGGCCCAACTCTTGGTTTCGGCTCAGGTTGTGGTCTCAGGGTCATGGGATCAAGCCCCGTATGGGGATCTGTGCTCAGTGGGGAGTCTGCTTGAGATTCTCTCTCCTTCACCCCCTCCCTCACCACATGCACGCATGCACTCTCTCTAAATACATTAGTCTTTAAGAAAAAAAATCTGCTTCTTCCCTTATTTGTGTTTACTAATAAATTTTCTTATCTATAAAAGCTGAAGAACCAAGCCAAATACTGATAATGGGAAATGATAATTGCTGAATTTATCAGAAGATACTTCTAAAGGAGTCTATTTTGCTAAAGGTCTCCCAATAGAAGTCTCCTTTATGGACATTCTGATTTTTGTTATTTAGAAAAAGCAGGGTCGTTTCCTTCTTAACACACTAAAACTCCTAGAAGTCCCACTACAATGGTTAGAAAAAAGCACTTTCTTTTAAGGAAAATTTTCACATATAATCCACATCAAGAAGAATAAAAATTTTAAGATATAATTATAAAAACTCATCTATCCAAATTTGATTTTTCATTTCCCATTTCCAACACAAAACTCTCACTTAGAACTTATGAAGAATTACTTTTTGATCAAAACTGTACCATTAAACGTGGAACATCAGCTTTATTTCAGCAACATTTTTAAATGTCCAAACTTTTAGCCCCTAGCGACATTTCCTGAACTCGTACTTCATACCTATCAAGGAAGTACCTTTCTGTTTTTCCTTTATACTCTTAATAGTTAAAGCTATTTATAAAACCTTTACTGCATAGAAAGTGCTGCTGAAAAAGTTGTGGAAATTTAATGCCAGGAATACAAAGGAGGACAAAAAGTCAAAGATAATAAAGAAGAGCAAGTAATTGCTACTGTATTAATTTTTTAAATGCTACTCAATTTTAAATGTTTAATAAAAGTGAGAGTAATAAGATTTCATAACCAGCCTGAAGCCCTTTACCCAGGTTTTCCTCAAGTATATTCTGTCTTAATGTATCTTCTTTCCTAGTCAGTGATGTTTATCTTTCTTTCATTTCAAATCAGCACTATGCTCAATACAAACAGCAAATTATTCCCAGAGCAAAAGGCACACTGTAAAACTCTTAACTTTCTTGGAAGACTAAAATCAGTTTTTGAATAATATGATCTGACTTCTCCATCAATGAGTGTTACAGTTGCTTCCTAGAAGCTACGCAGAACCACGCAAGAACCAGATTTCTTTTAATTAAGTGACGGCCACCAGAAGAATCTGCTACTTGCTATCAATTTTGCAGATTCTGATATAATTCTTGAATAGACAATCACGATGATAGAAGCGGAAAAAAAATTATTTAGAAGACATCATGAAAATGAAGTTATATAAAAATTATAAACATGAAATAGTTAGGATTTCAAAAGTCATCCACTTGGCTTAAGAATGAAATACTAGCCCCGAATGAGTTAATACTTTTCAATGCACACTCAATTCAGTTAAGAGGATACGCTGGAAACAATGTCTGGTGAATGGAAGGGCTTTGTTAGGGCACCGTTCACCCTTCACGGTTCCACTGCACGCTGCTGGCTCCGCCTCCCTCAACTTGGTCCGGCTTATGCTAAGAAAGCAAAGAGACAACATTAATTTCTAAAAAATGTTTTAAAGATCCAGGGCAACTTTTCAACACTAGGCTGGCAGGTTGTAACACCAACATTTCACCTTTCTACATTCTTTAAATAAAAGGTAACGATCAGGTACAATGACCAGTTCCAGTATTTCCGCAATCTACTGCCAAAACAAGTAATTGTATTATAATTGATTTCAACTATGCCCGTTTTTTCTTTTTAAGTGATATTTTGGTTCCTTTTGGGACACCTGGGTGGCTCAGTGGGTTAAGCGTCTGCCTTCAGCTCAGGTCATGATCCCAGGGTCCTGGGATCAAGTCCCTCCTGCACTGGACTCCTGGATTGGTGAGGAGTCTGCTTCTCCCTCTGCTTGTGCTCTCTCTCTCTCACACACACACAAACACACAAATAAATAAATAAAATCTTTAAAAAAAAAAAAACCCAAAACAAAGAGATTTAAAATAAATAAGTAAAATTTAAAAGAGTCTCCTTTCTACCTACCCTTATCCCAATTTGCCACTTCCCACTCTCTCTATAAGTATTCATTTTATTATTTTGTGGATGTTTCCATAGTTTTAAACAAACATTAAAAAGTAAAAATAAATAATATTCAAGTTCTTAGAAGTACAAAAACTGTCCTGTGTAATTTGATTCTCTGAAGCATCACAAACTGGTAGGACTTTACACCTATCTGAGAGTAGAAAAAGAATCTACGTAATATACTGAATCACACATCACGGATTAAAAATAAAATCTCTTTTAAATTGTTTCTAAGTCTAAGGACTTCAATAGAATGATTTATACTAATTAGAAGATCATACAGAACCCAAATTACATATGAATTTACAGAAAATCTCAGTAAAATTTCTACTCTAACTTTCCTATAAACAGTCCATGCAAATAGAGAACCAGGTGTTGCCATCGAAGCTGCTTTAATTAAGGTGCTGCAAGATGTGTCAGAATCACAAGAGTGGAGAAGCGGGCCATTAACTTAGGTCTGTAAAAAGGATAGACAATTTCAAATAAATGAAGCTGTACTATTTCGGCAGCTTACCGTAATTCTCTTGGTCTAAATTTAAATAGAAAGCAATTCTCTATACTGAATGGATTATTTTTGTGGAACACTTCAAGAATCTGCGCAGCCATTTACCAAGCCTCGAGTCCCACACATTCCCTCGTTTTCCTTTATCCTAGACTTCGAGGGGCCCGGTTTCATTTTGTAAAATTGCTGATACGTTCCAACTCATCCATCTATCTCTTAAACAGTAAAATAAATTCAAAGTCAAAATTCTAATACGTCCCTGGATAATTAAGGTAAAAATGCCTGATGTTAGATTTGTATTATCCGAATAATCCCAACAAAACAAACGGAGAATTACCAAAACATTTTGATGTTTTTTATGTGAAAACACCTACTACAAGCTTCCATTTTGTATTATTAGATCCCCCTTTTACAATAAAGTTTCTACACAAACACTAGTCTCTGTAGGATTGTCGGCTACAAGATACTTGAGTCTACATAGTTAAGCTATTTCAGTGGTTTATTCCATATATTTACCAATATATATGACAAAGCTATTAGATGAGAAAGAATAATGATACTCAGTTTAGATGCAAACTATATGTTAAAGGATACCTATATTAAAAGGCAGCCATTGAAGTTTTAACCTCTGAAACATTTAAAAGCAACTTTTTAAATGTTTCTTGTGGAACTAGTCTTTGAAAGCAAAAACATCAAATAGTGGGCATTATCCAAATGACAGCTGATTTTTGTGAGCCTAAAATATAATGTAAAGTAGTAAACTACCAATCACCAACAACTGATTATGGCTCATTGTTAAATGATTATCAGTGAGGCACTGAGCAATAAACTTTTTACTCATCATGAGTGACATAAACAAATGACATCAAATAAATGAGGACTGTATATTAAAGTTCATCTTGGTATTTGTTTAGTAGTATTTAATTATCACGAAATTAAAAAAAATCACTAATGGTGGTTTGGGAAATGTTTTGAAAAAAAAAAGGTGGGGGTTGATTCTGCCAGTTAAAAATCATAGATAAATACAGTTTTCTACACAAATACCGAATTGTCCCAAACTCAGAGTACAATCCTTACATCTCTGACAAGGTCATAATAATATACTAGATTCAATGTATATAACACTCTACACATATAGATTGCTTCATTGCTGTACAAAACTAAAGTCTCCACTGAAATTGTACACTTGAAAGCATTATCTAATGTAAATGTTAGATATCATTATTTTAAAACCTATGTCAAACCAAGTGAATTCTTTCAACAAATAGAGAACAGACGTCTCTTCACTTGTTTAATTCTATCCATTCGTTCATCAATACCGGAGATTTATGAACAAAATGTACATTGTTCCTGCCCTCATAAAAATGACTGTCTAGCTTGGGGCGCCTGGGTGGATCTATCGGTTAAGTGTCTGCCTTCGCCTCAGGTCATGATCTCAGGGTCCTGGGATCCAACCCTGTGTCAGGCTCCCTGCTCAGCAGGAAGTCTGCTTCTCCTTCTCCCTCTGCCCAACCCCACCTGCTTGTGCTCTGGATCTCAAAATAAATAAAATCTTTTTTTTTTTTTAAAGATTTTTATTTATTTATTTGAGAGAGAGAGAGAATGAGAGATAGCACGAGAGGGAGGAGGGTCAGAGGGAGAAGCAGACTCCCTGCTGAGCAGGGAGGCCGATGCGGGACTCGATCCCAAGACTCCAGGATCATGACCTGAGCCGAAGGCAGTCGCTTAACCAACTGAGCCACCCAGGCGCCCAAAAAGTTTTTTTTTTTTTTAAGTTTTATTTTAAACTCCTTTTTTCCTCAGTGACTCATGATCACTATAGAAAAAATAGAATATACATAATACTAATTTTTTTAAACCTTAATTTATCAATAATCCCATCCTCTAGAGATAGCCACTGCTAATATTTTGTTATATAAACTTATAAAAATGCGTGTGTATTTCAATGTTGTTATCTGAAAAAAATAGTAACTAAAAATTGTGAAATAATAAACTCCATAAAAAACTATGCCTTCCGGGGCACCTGGGTGTTTCAGCCAGTTAAGCACCGGCCTTTGGCTCAGGTCATGATCTCGGGGTCCTGGGATCCAGCCCTGCATTGGACTCCCTGCTCAGCAGAGAGCCTGCTTCTCCCTCTCCCTCTGCCCCTCCTCTCCGTTTGTCCTCTCACTCTCTCTCTCTCTCTCTCTCAAATAAATAAAATCTTAAATACAAACAAAAAAAAACTATACCTTCTAAATTTGAAACTTATTTCCTTTATTAAATATGAAGATTATTTTGGAAAATTTTAATTCAATTAAGCTAGAAAAGATTTTATTTATTTGAGAGAGAGAGAGAGAGAGTGCACAAGCAGAGGAGGGGCAGAGGGAGAAGCAGATGCCCCGCTGAGCAGGGAGCCCAACGTGGGGCTCGATCCCAGGATCCTGGGATTATGACCTGAGCCAAAGGCAGACGCTTAACCAACTGAGCCACCCAGGCGCCACTTAAGCTAGTATTTTTAAAAGGTATATAACCTAAATAAGTAATTATGGTAAGTTTTCACCATCTAAACTAATTTCGGAAATGATAATAACACCACAATTTCTTCACTGAAATATCAGGTAACTTCTACATGTCCAATTTATGGACTTTCCGTCAATAAAACAGTACGTACACATTATAAACCATAATTTCAAAACAATTTTTAAGAACATAGGGGAATGGCAATGATGTATTTTTAAGGGAAAAAAATTGGACACATAGCTCTTAAATATAGACCCAGTTTTACTTAAATACATACAAAAACCAGAAAAAGTCCAAGGACTGACATCCATTTACAAAGTCATTAAAAGCCATGTTTTAAAGAATTAGTGTCATGAGAAAATGGTCATAATCCAATGTTCCACAGAAAAAAAGTAGGAAATAAAATATACATATGGGATGATCTCAATTTTGCTTTAATACAAATACATGGCTCAGGGGAGATTTCATACGCACACACGTGTGCACACGCACACCACACAAAGCAAATAGACTACAAGGAAACAATGAGAATGTTCATAGTGCTCATTCTCTGTTCTGTGCATGGTGATATTATGGAAATCCCCCCCGCCCTTTCCTATGTTTTTCAAATTTACAATAAGCAAATACCTGGACTATAATATAAAAAGAAAAGATTTTTCCCCCCAAAGAAATGCAATGTAATAAAGTATTCTGAAGACCTAATATGCGGAATAATGGAAATATCAACAGAAAATACGTTGGAAAGAAAATTTTTAAAAAAATATTAAGTAAAAAATGTAAAATATTATTTCTGTAGTAAAAAAAACGGTAAATATCACTTTTAAATACATGAAATTTCTAAGCACTGGTTTTTGTTTTTTTTTTTTTTTTTTAAGGCAGGTAGCATTCTCAAATACTTCACGGTGTAAATTCTAGTCAAGCTCTGGCAAACCAACAGCAATGCTTTTAGACAGCTCGTGGCGATGTTCTATCACCACGTGATGCAAAACTTTATCTGAGCAACAAAAGCACAATGCAACGCTTAAATATTTCAGGCTTAAATGCCCACTGCCCACTGTGCCACAACTATCCTGTCAAAACACAGACAAAAGAGAGACAGGTGGCTGAGGACCAGGTGGCTGCCCGGGGCTCTCACCTGCTTCGGCTGCAGGCAGCTCTCTGTAGTTCCTGCATCAACTGACCAGCACACTCTGGTTCTCGACTGGCCGCCTGCAGCAAAGCTTTCCTAAACGTGTGCCGGCATTTCTTTTGACGAGATTCTGCCCGCTCCAGGCGGCAGAGGTGCTTATATTTCTGCTGAAAGTAAGTGCAAAGTTGGGTCACCCTGGAGCTCCTACTCTCCGTATCATCGTCGTCTGACCTGGAAAGTGCACAAAGGGAGAAGCTGATTAAACGTTAGGCTCGGTTTAGAGAGTGGGCAAAGTGGGTCAAGGAGCTACTTGGATGCACAAGGGTCCACATTTGGGGCAGGTGAGCATATACTTCACAAAATTAGAGAATTCCAGTAGAGCTGAAAGTAAGTACAATATTTCGACAATAAATAAGGCAGCAGACGCCACCCAGTGCTTTCAGATGCTTCACCTTCTCAGCATGTCAGAGTTAGACACAATGCATCTGGGTCTTCTAAATTTTAAGTGACTAGAGGTTCTCGGGAAGAAAACGGTTTCTTTACCTTTGCTTAACTAAAACGACTGAGTAAATGACATGGCAGTTATGAGGAAACACTAAGCATAATTTCATAAAAGATAGGTCATACCAGAAATAGAGCAGTGAATTCCAACAGTGCCTTATCAAAGACCTGCCCTTTTAGATGTACTGGTTTTCACTCCCCTCGCTAAGCACTTACAGAATGTTAATTGTAGGGGTCACAATCATTCTACAGTATTTTTTATTATTTTCTTTTAACACAGGAGATATCCTTTTTTTAAAAAGGTTTTTAAAAAAATTTGAGAGAGAAAGCAGAGCAAGCGAGAGAGAACACGAGTAGGGGGGGAAGGGCAGAGGGAGAGGGAGAAGCATACTCCCCACTGAGCTTGATCCCAGGACTCCAGGATCATGACCTGAGCCAAAGGCAGACACTTTAACAGACTTAGCCAGCCAGGAATCTCTACTTTGCAAATTTCTGGTCTAAGAAATAATTCCTAAGAAACATGTTCTCTTCAGTATAGTAGCTACTACAAATACTAGCTACTATAGTAGGCCATTTTCACCAATTGAAGGATCTTACTTCAATTTCTTCATTTATTTAACATTCAACATTTGCTATGTCTATTACGTTGAGTCCTACAAAGGAGAAAATAATTTAAGCAGTTTGCAATGCAGTTTAGACAAGATAAACACATCTCCAAAGTTAAACAACTCAAAAGACAATCAAATCAGTAACTAAAACCCTGGGGCAGGCTGATCAATGATTCAAGTATCTGACCTTCAATTAGAAAAATCTAGGAGTTTTTCACAATTTGAGATCCCAAGACCTACCCTAGCTCTACTGAACCAGAATTTCCATGGAATGGGGCCCAGGAATCTTTATTTTGAATTGTTCTCTGAAGTCCCATAGCAGGTTTTCATTCGGGAGTTCTAGTCGAGCCGGTAGGTACTATAAATATCTTCAATGTGAGGCAGAGAACATAGAGAGGTCTAGATATGGCTAAAGTGCTATTAAAGTTCACTAGCAAGATTGCTGGATGAGAGGCTTCACAGAAGAGATGCCAACAAAACTGAACCGTGAAGAAAGGGTAGAATTTGAAGAGAAAAAAAAAAAGGTTCCTCACAAGGATAAAGGAATACAAGTCAGGCTTCAGAGAGGAACAGGAAAGAGAACAGCAAGTACTAAGTAGCTCACTTTGGCGAAGACGTGGCATACACAGGGGAGTACGGTGGGTAAGGCCAACTTTCTAAACCTAAACACTAGATTCTACTGGCAGTGAAGAACCTTGTAGAGTCTGAAGAAAATAGGCAACAATAATAGAGCCGTGCATGAGAAAGGTTACACCGTCGGTAGGCAGAAATGGGAAGAGGCAGGGCAGAGGGCAGGGAGGAAATTATTAAAACACTCCAGGTAACAGGTAACAAGAACCCACACACCAGGACGGCGGCAGCGGGACTGCAGGAAAGGAAAGGCATCCTGCACGCATAAAAGGCAGACCTCCGTCAACTGGGATGGGAGGATGCGAGCGACAACAGTCGCGCGGCCCCTTCCAACAGCGAAGACCAGGGAAGAGGAACACAAGCAGATCTGGGGCAGGAAATAAATTCCATTTCAGACGTAAAGAATGTAAAGTACAGGTGAGGTATCAAAGGCAGCAGTGGGAAAAACTGTTGGAAACGATAAGCAGGAGCACAGCGAGGGAAGGAATACAGATTTCATAGCCAACAACTAGCAACTGAAGGACAGGGGAGGGCCTGTAAGTAAAAGGCCACGGAGATAATAGAAAGAACGAGACCTCTAAGGGCCATTATCACAAAAGAATTAACTCAATTTGGTGACTGGATATGAAGGATAAGAAAGTCAATAATGACTCAATGACTTTGAACTTGCATAACGAGGAGTATGCAAGGGCTATTAATAGAAAAAAGAAAGAGAGGAGAAACTGCAAGTCTTAAAGGGAGAGTGAAGCTCAGGTAGATAATCACTTGCCAAAGCTGTTATCTGAAAAGACTATTATGGCGGGGAGGACAGAGCAGCTCAGCAGTTCTCAAGTTGACAATGAATGGACAGATGCACCTGGATGTTGAGGCATGCTCCATCATTACAATAAAAATTTTCAAAGCTTATCAGAAGTTTCATGCTGATCTTGTTGTGGGCCAGTTAACAAGTAGTTTGCAAGACCTGCACAGGTCCACAGGCCATCCCCAGCATGGTCCTTAACCAGAAAATCTCCAACATGCCTCCCACTTCCAAGATGTTCTAACCCTTGTTTCACACCTGGCTGTGGAGGGAGGAAGAGTGTCATTCCGGGAACAGAAAGGCCAGCGGCCATCATTTACCAGCAGAGACAGGCCTGCCACCTTCTGCATTCTCAGTATGTGGCTTTCCTCACCTGTGAAATCAAAGAGCTGGCTCACCCAGCAACCAAAGTTGTGAAGAGAATGAAAAGAAATGACCTATCTGAAATCACAATATAAGTACAGGTATTATTATTAGATAATAACCTATATCCATCTAGTAACCTATATCCATTAACTAAAATTAAATCACTTATTAAATACACACATGCAAAAAACTCCTGGCCTAAACAGTTTTACCATGAGCTCTAGCAATAATAAATAATAATAATAATAATAATTCCAATCACACACAAAATATTCCAGATATCAGGAAAGAGGAGAATATTCTTTTTTTTAAGATTTTATTTATTTATTTTAGAGAGAGATCAAGCACACAAGCAGGGGGAGGGGCAAAGGGAGAATCTCCAGCTGACTCCACACTGAGCATGGAGCCCAAGGCAGGGCTCAATCCCACGACCCCAAGATCATGACTTGAGCCGTAATCAAAAGTCTGACAATTAACCGACTGAGCCACCCAGGTGCCCTAAGGGAATATTCTTTTAATAAAGCTAACCTAAATTTGATACCAAAAACTTATTATCAAGGACAATATGACAAAAGGAAAATTATAGGAAAATCTTATTAATGATCTCAGAGGCAAAAAATATTAGTAAGTTGAATCTAGCAGCATATAAAAAAGAAATATCCAATCTGGGTTAATTAATGTAGGAATGCAATAATTATTTTTCAATCTGATCTTACTAGACCTCTCTTCTGCCAAAAACCACTTTATTCTTCTTTTCCTTTCATCTTCAAACTTTCTATTTCCTTGCTTCCTCCTGTTATTTTCCTCATTTTCTTCTTTCTTCTTTCTCTTCCCAATCCTCACATCATGTATGAAAATTCTCCTTCATTTTCATAACTTCAACATCACTTAAATAATGAAGATACAAGTCTGTTCTCTAGCCCATACCTCACAATTATATTGCAGAGACAAGATATTTATTTGGCGTGCTCATCCACATATAACTAACCCAGAAATGCTGGAACTAGGACAGAGTACTGGGGAGCAGAGAGGTGCACAGACAGAAGCACTCTGAAGATCTACAGAGGGTTCCTCTCAGTTTTTCACTTGAGTACTGATCAGTGCAAGGGTGTGCAAGAATACCCAAAAAGAATCTGAAAAGAGAAGGTCAAACAAGTTCCAGCAGCTCACACAGGGCAGGCGTAGTTTGTGTTCCTACCACCCAAGGGGAAAAACGTGCAATCTGCGGGGCACTGGGTAGACCGACCACTCAGGAGCAGACTGCCTCACTAATGGGGGTAAAGTGAGCCCTCAATTAAAGGCTGCCATGGCCCCATTTCACGAAGTTTAAAAAGCCTCAAAAGCTGTTTCTAAGTAACACTGTCCCCAGACAAAGCTCTTAAAGGAAGACAAAATACCAGAATCAAGGTAAGTAAAATTAACCAAGCCTGGCATCTAATAAAAAATTATCAGACATTCAAAGAAACAGGAAACTAGGACCCATAAGGAGAAAAAAATCAATAGAAACAGATCTAGAAATGATACAGATGACATAATTAGTAAACCAAGAATCAAAGAACAGTTATTACAACCATATTTCACATTTTTGAGAAGGTAATCATGATCACGTCAAGGAGAGACATGGACAATAATTTAGAAGACCCAAAACAAACTTCGAGAGATGAAAAATACAACATCTAACATGAAAAACAGACTGAATGGGATTGATGGCTGGTTACATGCCACAAAAGATTAAGTAACCTGAAGACAGCAATAGGAACTTTCCAAACTGAAACACAGAGAGGAAAAAAAGTGAATGGAACATCAATAAGCTGTGGGATAATTTCAAGCAGCCTAAAATATGTGTAAACTAAGTCTCTCAAATAGAAGGGGGAAGAAAAATAATTGAAGAAAACTAGGGCAAATTTTTTCTAAATTTCAGGAAAATTATAAACTTACAGATCCAAAAAGTCAACGAACCCCAAGCACAAGAAACATAAAGAAAATGAACTACACAAATGGTTTAAAACTACTGATAAAGAGGAAAATCTTAACAGAGAAAAAAAAGATACATCATGTTCCTTGGACCAATTATGTGAAGGACGGCTGACTTCTCATTGGAAATAATGCAAGACATGTGAGCAACATCCTTAAGTACGCAAAAAAAAAACTGCCAACCTAGGATTTTATGCCAGCAAAAATATCTTTCAAAAATGAAGGCATACATCTTTGAAACACGGATGGACCTAGAGGGTATTATACTAAGGGAAGTAAGTCAGAGAAGATAAATACCATATGATTTCACTTATATGTGGAATCTAAAAAAAAACAAAACAAAGCAGAAACAGACCCATAAACACAGAGGACAAACTGGCGGTTGCCAGAGGGGTTGGGGGTAGAGAGATGGGCAAAATGGGGTAAAGACAGAGGGAGGTGCAGACTTCCAGTTAAGCAATAAGTCATGGGAATAAAAGGTACAGCATAGCGAATATAGTCAATGGTATTAGGGTTGTATGGTGACAGATGGGAGCTACACTTCTGGTGAACAGAGCATAACATACAGACTTGCCAAATCACTGTGTTATATACCTGAAACTAATGCAACATTGTGTGTTGATTATACTTCAATTAAAAAAAAAAAAAGGCATGGGGTGCCTGGGTGGCTCAGTCAGTTAAGCATCCAACCGCTGATTTCAGCTCAGGTCATAATCTCAGGGTTGTGAGATCGAGTCTCCACACCAGGCTCCCTCTCCCTCTGCACTCCTCCCCCCCGCAAGCCAAAAAGGCATAGTCAATTATACCTCGATAAAATTCTTCAGACATAAAAGCTAAAAGAATTCATCATCAGAAGAGCGGCACTATAAGAAATGTTAAAGTGAACCATTCATACAGAAAGAAAATAACATCAGATGGAAATATGGAACTATTCAAAGAAAAAAACCCTAGAAATCATGTGGGTAAATACAAAAGATTATTTTTCTTTTAAATCGCCTTAAAAGATAACTGCTTAAACAATAGCAATGTATTACAGGGATTATAACATACATAGAGGGAAATGTATAGCATCAAGTGTCTATGTCAGAAAACAAGGTTTAAGCTATCACCTTAAAAACCTGAAAAAGACAAACAAATGGTATCCAAAACAAAGAAGGAAAGCATAGAAGAACATAATAGAAGGAAATAATAGAGATAAGAACAGAAAGCAATGAAATAAAGCTAAAAGAGAATCAATGAAACTAAAAGCTTGTTCTTTAAAAAGACCAATGAAAAAGAAGAGAAAATGAACAGAGACATACACATACATGCCAAGGGTTCCAATGCAAGATCAACAGTGTTTTCAACAGTGTTGGTTAAACAGAAGATCCACACAAAAAAATGATCCTTAACACTGCACCTCACATTATATACAAATTATACAAAAATAAATTTCCACAAAGATTGTCAGGAAAACAATAAAGCTCCTAGAAAATAGTATTAAGAGAATAACTTCATGACTGTGAAGCTGTGGGGTAATGATTTCTTAAATGGGTCACAAATACATTACCCATAAAGAAAAAGAGCAATAAATTGTACTTATTAAAATTAAGAACTGGGGGGGGCGCCTGGGTGGCTCAGTCAGTTAAGTGTCTGCCTTCAGCTCAGGTCATGATCCCAGGGTCCTGGGATCGGGCCCCGCATGGGGCTCCCTGCTCCTTGGGAAGCCTGCTTCTCCCTCTCCCACTCCCCCTGCTTGTGTCTCTCTCTGTCAAATAAATAAATAAAATCTTACCAAAAAAAAAAGAAAGAATATGAAAGGGAGTTACTAGGAGTAATTACTGTTAATAATACATTTAAGGGGCGCCTGGGTGACTCAGTAGGTTGGGCATCTGCCTTTGGCTTGGGTTGTGGTCCTGGGGTCCTGGGATCAAGCCCTGCATCTGGCTCTCTGCTCCACGGGGAGCCTGCTTTTCCCTCTGCCTCTCTGTCTCTCATGAATAAATAAAATCTTAAAAAAAAAATACATTTAAGATACCAACTTATTTCTGCTCTTGAGATATAAGTAAGAGCCTGCGAGATCTCCTTCAGCACATGCATGTACAGCTAAACCAAGTAACCAAGAAATCTTTCCCAAAACAAGGCCAGGGGTACCTGGGTGGCTCAGTCAGTAGAATATGTGACTCTTGATCTCTGAGTCGTGAATTCAAGTCCCTTGCAGGGCATAAAGCTTACTTAAAAAAAAGGCCAAACTTTCTCCCTAAAATTTCTTCAAGCATAATCCTGGTTTAGCAAGAAAACTCATGAAAAGCAGGTTTGCGGGAAAGCAGGTGGACGGGCAGCACAGAATGATGATCAGACTACTACCAGTTTTTCTTCCAAAAGAATCTGAGAATTCTAACAGGAATCTTTACTATCATTTATCATTCATTGCCCAGGTACCAGGTATTGTGCTTAAGCATTTACTTATGCTACCTCATTTACAGCAATTTTTAAAATTACCTCAAAATATCCCAAATCAAGTTAAGCTGACATGAACATCCACCTGAGAAAGCATGACTGATACTATCCATTCCTGTCAGAGTGTTAAGTTCAACTGTACTTTATCTGAAGAAAAGAATATGCTAATGGTAAGGAAGCAGTCTTGAATGATACATAAAATGGAACGTTGGAGAGAGAAGAAAACTATAGCATTCTCCAATCCTATCTAGGAGATTGGGGAGGCCAGGACAACTGGCCATTAATAAATCCAACTAACTCTCCTTCCAGGCCCAAATAAGCTCCCCATGTAGTTTTGCTTAGTGAACATTTGTACTATTTAATGATTATTTCTCACTTTATTTTTTTTTAAAGACTTTATTTTATTTATTTGAGAGAAGAGAGAGAGTGAGAGAAAGAGAGCCCAAGAGGGGGTAGGGTCAGAGGGAGAAGCAGACTCCCTGCCATGCAGGGAGTCGGCTTCTCCCTCTGACCCTCTTCCCTCTCGTATTCTCTCTCACTCAAATAAATAAAATCTTTAAAAAAAAATAAAAAAGAAACTGGCATTTTGGTTTATACATTACTCTCTAGAGAATCAGTTCCCTGAGCCTAATCACCTCTGGGTACACTAACAAATCATATTTTAAGCCTATAAACCAAAAAACCAGGTTCTAGAGAATATATGTCCATACAATGCTACTGTGAGAGTCTAGGAGTTGGCCTGGGGCAGATAGCTGGTCTCCCCTCTATTTTGTCAAATATCTATTCAAACCACAATACTTAAAAAAAAAAGAAAAAAATTAGCTGAGTCTGAGAGCCATCTTTTGGCTCCACAGACAGGGATCTATCTCGGAATGGCCCCACTGTACTAAGTGAATCCCTAAAGCAGTCCCCTGAAACAGAAAGAGCTTTCTCACTGTCCTGTGCATTAATCAATCTACAGCTTTCTGATAAGGCAGATACCAAGAACCCCTAATGAGATTATCTTGAAAACCATTTTAGCACATTAGAAATACTCAGTGCTTAAGGAAGATTAAAAATGGATCAATCTTGTAGAAGACAGAGCTGAAATAAGCTGTTCCCAGCTTCTGTAGGGATCAGGCCAAAGAGGATCCAGAAGTCAGGCAGCAGGACTCTGAGAAGCCCTGGGACCTCAGGCCAGTTCCTTAGCCTGCCTGGGCCTTGGTCTCCTCTTCTGTAAAAAGAGGGGATGGGACTAGGTAATCCCGAAGGTTCGTTTTCATTCTGAATTCTATTCCAAGTGGTTCCTTCAGTGATAAATGGGAAGGGTACAGAAACAAATTTACCAAGAAAACTGAAAAGCTTTATATAGTACATTTCCTCCCAAGTGGAATCTCTTTTACCTCCATTACAATAAAACTAGATCCAATGAGATAAAAGAACATTAGCATACAGAGTGAAACATCAGGCCATTACAGGGGTAACTGAAGAATCAAAACAAAAAGGAAGACTTACGTGTGTCTTTCATATCTGAGCATTTCTCGGATGGACCATGCCACCTGGTATGGCGAGGCCTGCTCTGAGTCCTCTAGCTCCTCCCCGCTCTCTTCGGACCAGTCCAAACCTGGGACATGTGAGAAGATACAGCACGTTAAAAAAAAATGTTTTATTTAAAATTTAGAAAAAAAGCTACCAAAAATGCATAACCCAAAACCTATAGCACATACTATCACTGTATGAATAAATGCCTCTCTATTCCGACAAAAGTATTAATAATGACGTATGACATACACTCAGGTTTAAAATAATGACACTGTAACAAAAAAAAACTATATTCCAAGGATGAACTTCTTCGTCACACTTCACAAATGGAGCAGAAACATAAGCAGAGAGTTCCAGTCCTTCCCCCCACCAAAACGTCATACATTAAACATCATACATCATGTCAGAAAAACATAAAACAAGGCTAATGTATGTTCAGGTAAGAAAGAAGTCAAAATGCACTGGTGGATTCACTCTACACTTCCACAAAGAAGGGCCCTAGGACAAACTGTCAAAGGCAGACACTTCATCCCCTTTCCCAACCCCTCCGGAGGAAAAGGACTCCATCCACCAGGCAGAGCCCTGGCCCTGGCTCTTAACCCTCTGCAGGAAGAGGAAAGGGTAAGAGGGCAATATTCCATTTCTAATGCAGCTTGGGCTTTCTTTTAATTCTTTTAAACAATAGCTGCCACATTCTGTGGCATTATGAAAAACAAGTTTAGAGGGGACAATAGAGAAATACAGGATGAACAATGCTTACTTATTTTGTTAAACACTACTAATTTTAATGACTGGATAATTATTAGCTTCCAACATAAAGGTTTTACCTTTTTAGAAGTTTTGTATCTTGGAAAGGTCTCGATAAATACTGATGTTGCACAGTCTAACATGCATAACTTTAAATATACTCATACCGCTATGAGACTTGAATTAGATACCTTGGTAACTAGTATTAGGTCTTCCTTCTTGAGACCCTCAAAACTCAGAAGACCATCTTCATTAGACAGTTATGTTAGAAAGGACCTCAGAGGTTGCTTCTATAATTTAAGTAAGTTTACATGTGCCAAATAGGGAAATTAAGAAAAGGTTAATCGAAATGCAAATTATAAATGCTTAAAATTAAGTAACACATTACCACTGGCATAAAGAAACCTCAAATTTAGTTCCAAGATGACTATCCAAATGTTAGGTCACCTTAAAAAGTAAGTTACTTAAAAAAAAAAAAGTTAAAATAATTAGTGATTAAAAAAAGTAAAAAACAAGTAATCACAATAGCATTAGCTTCAGGATAGGATACTGAAAGGCGAAGTCTTTCAAACACAAAGTGACACTTAAGGTATCTTCAAAGTGAGGACATGAATTATCTTTTATTGTTTTTGTATAATTCATAATAATTTCTACTAAGTCACCTATATCTTCTCTGAAAAAGTCAAGATCTAAGTTGTAAAAACTAAGATGGAGGTGTTTCTCTTGTGAAATTAACTGTCCAATAAAGCAAACCTTTGATCTTGGCTTCATTATCACTAGTTTTAATATAACTAACTGAGATAACCAGGCCAGACGAGACTGTAAAAGCTGATTACAAGATTGCATTTTTCTTATTCTTTGCTGATATGAATGCAGACTATACTTGGTCATAACAGTGCATTACAATTTCTGGCTTCTCCAAAGTAACCTTTGTTTTGAAAACCTAGGACCCTAATATGCTTGATTTTAAAAAAATAAAAAAATAAAATAAAAAAAATAAAAGGGAGGGGGGTGCGTGGGTCATTTAGTTGGTTAAGTGTCTGCCTTCGACTCAGGTCATGATCCCAGGGCCCTGGGATGGGGTCCTGGGATGGAGCCCTGCGTGGGGCGCCCTGCTCAGCGGGGAGCCTGCTTCTTCCTCTCCCTCTAACCTTCTGCCCTGCTTGTGCTCTTACTCGCTCTCTCCCTCTCTCTCAAATGAATAAATAAAAATCGTTTAAAAAAAAAAAGACAATACTTTTTCTGTAAAGTCTCATTCTGTGCAAAATGACAAAAAACCAGCCTCTAACACAACATAGTTTGTTTCAAAAGCTAAAAAAATTACCAGCATCCATAAATACACAAAGTATAAATAAATATTTAGTAGATGACACAGGTACATTGTGGAATAAGAGGCAAACATTTGGGAAGAAATAAAGTTAGATTTTGCCTTGAAACTAATACCTAATGAATTCCAAACAGAGGACTACAATGTAAATAAATCAAACAATAAAAGGACCAAAAGAAAATATGGGTGAATATATTACATACTCTTAGAGCCCAAACAAGTGAGAAACAAAATAAAGCAAAACAAAAAGTCTGATTCAAAAGGAAAAAAATTCTAAAAAAATAGAACACAATTTTAACTCCTAAATTCCAAAATAATTATATCATAGATATTTAAAAGCAAATAACAAATGGGAGAGGCTTTGCAACAAACATGAAATATGTATAAAAAGATCATACCAAATCAATAAAAAAAAAGCCCTTCAACAAAAATGAGTGAAAAAATTCAAAACGTAAAATAAATAAGAAATACAAACATCCAAAAAGCATATGAACAAATACTCAAAGCTACAATTACTATCTCAAAACAGCAGTTCTCACTTAAATGGTCCATAGATCCCCAGGGGTCCCTGAAACCCTCCTTAGGGAGTTCCTTAGGTCAACACTATCTTCAAAATAAGAAGACATTATTTGCTTTTTTCACCGTGTTGGCATTTGCACTGATGATAAAAAACAAAAAACAAACCATGGTGGGTCAATCTGCTGGCGCCTCAGCATCAATCAGAGTGGTGGGATCAAACTATACGAGCAGTCATCCTGTGTTTCACACCACAATGTGCAGTTAAATAAATAAATAAATTAACAGTTTTGAGAATATCCCTGGGGCACCTGGGTGGCTTAATAGTTAAGCGTCTGCCTTCGGCTCGAGGCCCGATCCCAGTATGCTGGGATCAAGTCCCGTGCTTCAGTGGGGAGCCTGCTTCTCCCTATGCCTGCCGCTTCCCCCTGCTTGTGTGCGCACACTCCTTCCCTCTCTCCGACAAATGAAGATTTTATCAAAATAAAATCTTAAAAAAAAAAAAAAAAAGAATATCTGTGACAAAGCCCGGTATAGGTAAAGACTGTTTATTAAATCTTAGTTCTTGACTATGCGTCTTTACACCAGTGTCTGCGACTCCACGTGGAGTCAGAAAGCCCCTGCGCTGCACACCGTAAACGTATGGTGGCTGTCTTGAGGAAAAGCCCTTGCAGCACCTGGTGTTAACTGTGACCTCAACGAGCTGTTTTTTTTTCACTCGACACCATTTTTATTTGAAGGAGTGACCAACAAACTGTGGTTACTAAGACTTGGATATCTGACAGTCATTTTTTTCTAATATCAACACAGTGAAAACTGTCACCTCAAGGAAAACAATGGACAGGGCTTGTTGCCAACAATGAAATTCAGATTTTCCCTTGAAAGCTTGATTTTTTTTTTTTTAAACTTGAAGTCATCACTGAGTCTATGACAACTTTCTAACAGACTTTTCTGACGAGATTGGTGGTAATATTAAAGAATGTGATTTTGTTTTGTTTTGAAGTAGGCTGGACACCTAGTGTGGAGCCCAACACGGGGCTTGAGCTCACGACCCTGGGATCAAAACTTAAGATCAGATCAAGAGTTGGATGTTTAACTGATTGAGCCACCCCGGCATCCCACGAGAGTATTATTTTTAAATTTGGTATAATGAAATATGTCCACATTTGGGATATATGTTTAACTAGGTAAACCAATATTTTCCAAATGACCAATATAGATGTTACAGAATCACGCATGGGTAAAAAGATCCCTTCAAAGTGCAAAGCAGATCAATGGATTTTAATGTAATGGTTTGCAAAATTCCTTGATAGGGTTTCAGGTTTCACACTGCAACTAATCTTTAAGAAACTACCATTGGTCAATTTTTGGTATAGGATCAAATAAGAATATCCACAATTATTTTTAAAAAGCTAGTAAAATATTCTTCCCTTTTCCAACTCCAAACGTGTAAGCCATATTTTCACATATTAATCAAAACCACATATCATGACTGAATGCAGAAGCAGACAGGAGAATCTGTCTTCCAGCAAACTACACATTAAGATTTACAAAACAATGTAAAATAATGCTGCTCTTCTCATTATATTTCTTTTCTTTTGGGAAAACATAGCTATTTCATAAAAAGAACATGTTAACATGTGGTGTTATCTTTAAAAATGCATTAACATTTTAAAAATTTCTCAGTTTTAACTTCTAATTCAGTAAATATCAACAAATGTGACTCACATACATAAAGGCTCTACAGTGTCCTCAATCATTTTTAGGTGTAAAGGGATTCTTAAGGCCTAAAATTTGAGAAACACTGATCTAAGTTATGCAAATTAAAGCAAATGTTCTATCAAATTTGCAAAGGCACAATAATAACCAATATCCAGTACTGTAAAGATGGAGAGAAACTGTCATCTCATACCCTGCTGAAAGAAGGGCAATGTAACAAAATAGTTCTGAAGGAAAATTTGACAACATGTATCAAAAAGCTTTAAAAAAAAAATGCAAAAGCTTGGAATCAGCAATTCTGCTTCTAGGAATCTGAAGGAAAAATTAGAGATGTGACAGTAATTATTTTACTATGAGGATATACAGCTACACTTTATAATAATATAAACTGGAAACAACCTAAATTAGAGAAAGAATTCAGCTGTGACAAATTATATGGTATATCAAAAAATTACTACCTTCATAGTACCTTGTGAAAAATTTTAAAACAGGTTATAAAACTATATGTACAGCAGGAACCCAATTTTACAGATCTGAAATATACCAAGGCATTAACAAATGGGTATTAATAAGGTTTGGGTGTTTTAATTTATTTTTTTTATATATCTTTTCTTTAAGTATTATTAGTTGTTTTAATCACCAAAAGTCATACATGGCTTAGTAACAGGTGAAACAATATAAAACTCTAATATAAGAAGAGATGCCATTCCCATCTCTGTAAAAACACATCCTATCCAATTCTGTCCTCCCCTTGACAGTCAGTGTTAACAGCCTGGTAGTATATAACCATTCACACATTAAAGACCCATGCTTATACCTCAACAGGCAAACATCTATCTGTCCATACGCTTAATCAACAGATACACTGATGCCCCTTGTTTATTTACTTTATTTTTACAAATGGGGTAATACAATACCCCCAGATTTTTTTCTACTTGCTAATATAAAATAGGCACATCTAGTTATAAAGGTTGTTTGAGGATTTTTTTTTTTTAAAGATTTATTTATCTGAGAGAGTGAGAATGAGAGAGAGAGAGAGAGCACATGAGAGGGGAGAGGGTCAGAGGGAGAAGCAGACTCCCCGCTGAGCAGGGAGCCCGATGCAGGACTCGATCCCGGGACTCCAGGGTCATGACCTGAGCCGAAGGCAGTCCCTTAACCGACTGCGCCACCCAGGCGCCCCTGTTTGAGGATTTTTAATACTGCAAGCAACACTGCAATAAACATCCTTGAACACATATCCTAACATTCTGATATTTTTTTCACCCATAGGAATAGAGTCCCAAAAGTGAGTTTGCTGGCTATATATACACTCTTTTAATTTGTAAACACGGTCACATTATTCACCAGCAATGTAGAATCCTCATCAACAGTGGATATAGTTTTTGCCAATCTGACAGAAACTGTTACTTTGATTTGCATTTCCACACCTGCTATGGGGACTGAGGTTTTCACTGGTTTACTAACCACTTGTATTTCTTCTTCCTCTGGTCCCATCCTTTTCCTATCCTTCTATTACTATCACATCATGCAAATGATTTTTCCTCAAGTTAGAATCACAGCTCACACCATATTTAAGAATATATTCCAAATGAATTAAAGGTTTTAAATAATCAAACACAGAACAATCGAATTATCAATAAGAATATATAAAACACCTGTATGAACTTGGGATCAGAGAGATTTTCTTGAGCAAGAAAATTCAGAAGCAATGAAGGAAAGACATTTCACTACATTCAAGTTTCACCTGTAGTTTTTCACTTTTAAATCATGAACAGGCATCACTACGGGAATTTTTTTTACAAGGTTTTTTGCTTTTTTTTTTAACTGTCAGCAGATATTAACAATGCTATCATTATTCCAAAGTCCTACGATAAGACATGTCGAAAACTTCATCAGACACAGGTGCTGAGCTCACAGGGGCAGAGAACCCAACACAACTGCCTTTCGATACCGCTGTTGCTACCACAAACGAGAAACTGTGTGTGACTGCCATTCCAAATTTGCCGACTCCTACTTCCATATCCTGTCTACCAAGGATCATCCCCTCCACTAGCCTATTTCCTTGACGAAGGCCCCCCTAAACACACAGTCTTGCACTGAACCCCCCGGGTCCCAGGGCCCTGCCACCAGCATCACAGATGCAGCGGGTCTGAACACTGAGCCTCCCCTGCAAGGGCACGCTGTGTTACAGTCCGGGAAATGAGAGAACTCACCTAAATGGGGAAACAGATCAGTGTCCAACTGATGTTTCTGGGTGCACAGTTTCACCAGTCTGTGCAGGCGACTTATACAGGAGAAGTGTGGAGAGAAGGCTGTGGCTTTCATGAGGACCCGGTCAGTCCTGGGCGGGTCCGTGGCTGGAGCCCTACTGGATGGCAGGAGGGGCAGCGGCCTCTTGTGGGGCAACTGCCTCGCTTGTGCTATAGTGTGTGTGGTGGGGGCCACTCCCTGCATTGGTAGGCTGGTGCTCGGAGGTGGAGGGGACTTGCAGACTACACCCTGCGGTGGCGGTGGCGGTGGAGCTGGAGGTTTCAAGGACGAGGCTAAAGGTGACAGGTGGGAGAGCTGCGGCGGGGCCTGCTGCTGTGAAGGCGCAGGAGGGGGACTAAAGTGCTCTTGTCGGACTTTTAAAATCTCCGTCTCTCTCTGGCGCTGCCGATTCTGGGCCAACTTGCTCTGCAACTTCTTTCTCACAGTTGCCCCTTTCTTTAGGTCATCATCTTCCTCGTTGAAAGCGAATGGGTCTTCCAACTCGGTTTCCAGGTAGTGGAGAGGGACCCTGGCCCCAGGTGGAGAGAGGGACATTCCATCCAGCCCGTTGGGCATCTTCAAGGCCAACGGGGGCACCGTCAGGCTAAAGGCCATGGTATCCATCTGGTGCCTGACCTTCACCTCATCTATAGGATCATTCTTTTTCTTCCTCTCTTTTTTCGGGATAAAGCCAAGTACCTGCAAGTGGCTGTTGCAGTACCTTTAAAAAACACACACGGGGAAATGATTATGATATACACGAAGAGAAGTTGAATATAAAACTACATAGTATAAAATGTGAATCCTACCTAATATATTAAAAATGCATGACTATAGGAACTCTTGGCATTCATGGATTTAACATAAACAACCTCTACTACTCTCAAGCACGCCTCAAAGTCTGCAATTTTCCTGAAGCAAATAGGTGAGTTGTGTGTGTGCAGAGGCTGCCAGAGAGAAGTGAGTCATTCCAACACTGAGTGGCCCTGGATGACCATCCAGCTATGGCTTCTCACTCTGCTTTGTTATTTTGTATTCACAGCACAAAAAGAACTCATCAAGTCTAAAGGATCTCTAAAAACTCTGTTATGGAGAGGAAAAAAAAATCGTATCTATTTATCTATATATATTCCAATGTCATTCAAGTATTCGTAGATTCACAAAGATCTTATGACATAATCCCTAAAAATACCAAGTGTCTACAGTGTATTCTACACACACATACACACACAGATCGAGAGAGAGAGAGAAATAAAGAATACAGAAAGGAAGGAGAAAGTAAAATAATAAAACTAACAGTTAGAGGGATTACAGATGAAATGAGTTCCTCAACAGCCAGAGAAGTACATTTATACCTGCAGTAGGTACTAAAATAATGCCCTTTATACAGATGAGGAAGCTAAACTTGATGAAAATTAAATAACTTGCCCCAACCACCCCCCTCTGGAAACTGATAGAGCTGAGACTCCAACGAAGAATCTAAGCTCAGGAGACTCTCCATAGTCTTCAGCAATGAGGTTACTTCTGTAATGTAAATGGTATTTTAAAAAATACTAAAAAGGACAGCATCCTTCTACTCAGTAAGAAAGAAGAATACATGTTGTTCCCAGAAACCACACTGAAAAGCTACAGAGGCTTTTAACCGGTAGTAAAGTAGTGTTTCCCAGACTGGGATTCCTCATGCAGTTCAGAAGGTTAGCAAGTATGCCATAAAAAAAAAAAAAAAAAAAAGAGTATTCCATGCTTAAATAAATTTGAAAAATGCTGGCTTCAACAGAATTAGACAATGATTTTGTTGTTTGTTTCTGCTGAACAACTTCTCAAAGCATTTTGTATGATAACGTACATTGCGCTTCAAGGTGGCAATGTACCCATCTGGCAGGGTTTCCCAAACTTACGTGAAAAGGGCATCTATTTTTATTGTAGCGAACTTGTGGAGAACACAGTTTAGGTAAAAATGGCAATAAAGTAATTAATGTCAATCTTGAAACTCACTGGGCCATATCAGACAAATTTTTAAATAACTGTTAAAGATACAGATTCACCATATCATCAAGAGACATGGTTTTGTTGGTTTGTCTGAGAAATAAATCTCTCAAAGACACGCCTCCATTTTAATAGGACTATTAAGAAAAAGCTTTCTGGACAGTAAAGAGAATCTACACTGTGTGTGTGTGTGTGTGTGCACGGGTGTGTGCGCGCGCGCGCACACACACTTGCACATACACACCTAACAGGTTTAGGTTAGGTCTCACACAGACCTTAAACAGAATAGATTTATAAAGCTGTGGCCAAAATGGAAAAAGTTTCAGGGATAACTGCATGATTTTTGTTGTTGTTTTCAAGTCATTTTTAAATTAACAAAAGGATTAGCAGGGTAGAAATGAGGTGGGATAGTTTTTAAATTTGGAAATGAAATTTTTCTGCTCATTACACATGAGCAGCCTGAACAGGTAACTGAGCCTGCCCCGTGCCACCTCACGTAACAGGGCAGAGGCTAATCTGCACGTCCAGCCCTCCTTCAACCTCACCCTCAACTCCTGCTCCAGCTACTCTGTCAGCATTACCACACAGAGTCTGAACTTGTAAAACACTTCCTCTTCTAGAAGGGAAGAATTTTCATAGCTAGAATTACAACAGCTTACTTCATTATGATCAGTGTTTAAAAGAAGTATGCAAATATGAATTGAATAACTCTATAGGGGAGTGACCGCTAATGGGTTCTTTTGAAGGGACGAAAATGTTGTAAATTAAACTGTGATGAAAGTTGTACTAAAAAATACAGAATTATACACTTCAAATGAGAGAATTGTATCAGATGTGAATTATATCTTAATTAAGCTGTCTAGGAAAATGGTAAACATACAGGAAAACAAAAAACTTCTTGACAAATCACTACTAAAAAATATATAAAATTAGACAAATTTAAATTATATAAAATAACCAATTTAATAAAACCACTTATCTCTGAGAAACCAAGGCTACAGTAATAAGCCTTAGCCTCCCACTGTACATTAGAAAATGAACTTTACTTTTTAATTATACCAGTATTCCTAGTGAACATAACACTATTCTATTTCAAAGAGGTAAGAATCCCTTAAGTTAGCATTTTTAATACATACCAGAAGTTAGACACCAGATACTAAGAAGCTTCCTTCAGCTGACCACCAATCAGATAATTTTATCAATTAAAAGTCATTGGGAGTTTGTTTTCTATAATACATAAAACCATCTCAAATTCCTAAGTGTCCAAAGAATAACTGCATTAACAATAATGAAAGCTTATTTTCAAAAGAATATCAATCTTTTCTACATTATGTCATATAGTGTAGTTATTAACTATCAATATTTATATACACCTTAGACCTTATATCAATTCAACCTGGATTTCTTGAGGCAACATAAGAATATTACCTCCTACTGATGTCTACTTAATCTACCTCCAAGCAACCCTACAAATAATAAAAATATTACCATTTGCATTGGTTTGAACCAATTTGGAAAGATTTATGTAACTTAGTACTTAAGCGTAGTTTCTTTTGATACAGCCACACAAGTCCTTCCCCTTCTTTTCTTGTTCTAAAAAGAGGAAACTACTTTGAATATCAAGGTGAAGACCTATGATTCAGAGAATTAATATTCTGGAGAAATGCAGAGCAACTCTTGTTTTACTTCTCGCTGCTAGCTATTAACATAGTACTTGCTTCCGCTGAAATGGAAAAAAAAAAAAATCCAAGGTGGACAATTGCAAATGTGGTAAACTGAATTTAAGACAAAATTACAGGGGTGCCTGGCTGGCTCAGACGGAGGAGCATGCGACTGTTGATCTCAGGGTCATGAATTTGAGCCCCATGTTGGGTGTAGAGATTACTTAAATAAACAAACTTTAGGGCGCCTGGGTGGCTCAGATGGTTAACTGTCTGCCTTTAGCTCAGGTCGTGATCCCAGGCTGGGATCGAGCCCCACGTCTGGCTCCTGGCTCAGCAGGGAGCCCGCTTCTCCCTCTCGCTCTGCCTCCCCCTGCTCATGCTCTCTATCTCTGTGTCTCGAATGAATAAATAAAATCTTCAAAAATAAAATAAATGAACTTCAAAAAAAAAGGACAAATTATAGATGTGTTTATAGTGGAGCTTGGAGTAAAAAAATGAACCCAAGTTCATCAATTCTTCAAGTTAAAGAAGGCCAGGGGTTAAGAAACGGGCATGGTAAGTCTGCTAGAAGCTGGACAGATATTTTTAGTCAGGTACAGTGAGTGGTCCCTTTCTCAACTGAGATTAAAATTTTATTCCTTGCCTCACTGAGCAGCTGCTTCTTTCAGGTATTGTAATGTGAAGCTTTAAGTGCGCATTAGAAATTCCAAGGAAGTATTCCCAAATCACCACATGATGCTATACTCATTTTTGGTGGGAGCTCTATCAACACAAATTATTTATTTCACCATAAAAGTGTAAAATTGCTCACCATGACATACACAAAACATGACATCTTTTCAACCAATTTATGCAGGTGACATCTGTTTATGCACAGGTACAAGGATGAAGGCTGGATATACATATTTTAAAGATTAAAGTAAAAAGTTCGCATTTTCTACCTAAAGATAACAGTATTTGAAACTTTTGGGGAATAATTATGCATCTCTCTGTAATATCCAACAATGCCCACATGGTTTCTGGAGAACCGAAGAAAAAAATGAAAAAGAGATTATATATGAAATAGTCTGAATTTTCCTGAGACTATGAAAGATGAGTAACTATCATAAGACTCTTTCTCTAAAAACACCTCCATGTTTTTTAATTCAGCCAAGTAAAAATTCATAATCCTAGTGATAAAGCCTACTCTTACTGTAAACATACCATTTCTCAATTATGTTAAACATACTTTATATGGAACTCTTTTAACCAAAAGGCAAGATTACAGAACAATGCCAAACACTGCTTAGAAGTCTGAGACAAAGTACATCTTCTCAATAATTCAAGTAATCATTCTTTTGAACACTTCATTTTCATTAAGTACATACCCTTTGCTACCTTTCAAGCACAGATTAAAAATTTCCAAAATCATTACCATTAATTACAACACCTAAATAGTTCCTATAATTTCTCTTATTTAAGCAGATTTCTATCATAATCAGGAACGACTTTATAAAACACTGCAAACCAAACACAAGCGACGATTGAGGAAAAATTTCTTTCAAAGTCTATTAAACCAATTAAAACAAAAAACAAAAAACCAAACACACTTTTCAAATAATTCCCCACTTCTCCATTTTCTAAAAACTGCCATCTCTTGTCTTTAGAATAGATTCCAAGGTTTAGATTATCCCAGAACTCAATGCTTAAACTCACCGCACGTAAAAGAAGAAAAAGAAAATTCCAGGTCTACGAATGAAATCAAAGACGGATCCCCATCATTAGCTCTTACCTACGATCCTCTGATTTGGGGATGGGGTTGGTGCAGCGCTGGCTGTTATACTTGGCCACATATTCACATTGCTTGAAGGGGGCAGTCTTGTCCTCCAGAACGTGTCTGATACAGAAAGCGTACCCGTTGAGTCGCCGCTGCTTGCACAGTTTGGGGCTATATGAGCACAAGGGCTTATTGTCAACCTCAGAGAAGTGTATATGTTTCCCTTCATACATCACGTGACTCTATTCCTTGTGAACATCAGCTAAAAGACCACCACAAAAAAAGAAACCCAAATGATAAATCAGAGAGTATAAGGCAGATTTAAGTTGAGAATTTCACTGAGGGACTTCTGGCCCCACAGCCATACCTGATTTTAAATCTTCTGCACCATTGCAATGTTAAGAGAACCCCAAGGATACCACAGTTTGGAATGCTGCAGAATCAAGATGAAGCAGATTGTCTACAAAAATATCAAAAGGCCTAGTTAACAAATAGAAACGAGAAAAGCTTGCTTACCTGGGAAGTCAAACACTAGGATATCACCCTTCCTAACAGGATGGATTCTCCTTTGTAACCCATCATCCCAATATGAAATTAAAATAGTAAGAGACATTATAAAACACCAAGTTACCTCCCCCCTCCAAATTGAACGAAGTAACTTTTACTCTGGGAAAGTTCTTTTAAGTGCCTCAAAGCAGCGGGGCTCTTTCAAACAAATGTAAGGCGGCAGGTCTTTGTATGTCATTACTGGTGGTTGAATGCTACATCTATTTTCAGAACGCAAATCTCTTCACAATACCAATGGAATGAACCTACAGACTTAAAACGTCCCTCAGAAATTTGACATTTTGATATGTTGACAAAATATTTGGCCATTTGCAACAAATGTTTCTATGAAATACAAAAGGGGGGGCAAATTCCTGTTCTAGAAGTCATTTTCCCTGTAATTATTTCCCCACATTTATCCCACCCAAAATGTAAACTTCTTGAGCCCAAAGACTAGTCACCTAACTACACTTCCAGCATCCAGGGCATGGCTATATACCACATGCTGCAGCCAATTACCCTAAAGAGGGTAAGAATCAGGACTTAAGAAATGTTTGGAGTTTTAGTAACAAATGGAAGGAAGAAACCACGTAACACCCACTACTTCTCTGTACACAGAATGGCTAGCAGTAACATTTCCATAGTATAACATCAGACAGTCTACAGTGAAAGCTAGATGTGTCAAGTCAGGGTGTAGTGGGACCCTGTGGTTTAACCCACTTTCTCCAGAATCTACAACTCATCCAGACGGGCTGACAGAACAGCTTGGATACTAACTACAGACAAACTCCAGAATACGCTCTTCTTTACCAAACTGGGTATGAAATTCCTCACACCCATCAATGTCAAGACACGTATCTGCTTAAAGGAGTCAGAAGACACGTTTGCCATCTGTCACTTAGTGTTACCTTGAATAAATAATACAGCCTCAGTTTTATCATCTGTAAAGTGGGGCTAATGATAGTAGCTATGTTATCATCAGGTTGCTCTAAGGATCCAGTGATACAAAGCATGCAACACACCAACTACCTTGCCTAGTGCATGTTAAGCACCGAACAAATGAGGTTATTAAAAAACGTCAATGCTTCTTATTACTTACATTCTACCTGTTGGTGATACAGAATTTCTATTGTCCTTGAGTACTTCACTGTAGCAGAAAAAACAACTGAAGTATTAGCTTAGTTAATAAAAATCACATTCATTACTGAGTAAACCTAATTAGATAATCAATGTAAATCAAAAATAAGAGCTTTCGGGACGGCTGAGTGGTTCAGTCGGTTAAGCGTCTGCCTTCGGCTCAGGTCATGATCCTAGGGTCCTGGAATCGAGTCCTGCATTGGGCCCCTTGCTCAACAGGGAGCCTGCTTCTCCATCTGCCTGCCGCTCCCCCTGCTTGTGCTCTCTCTCTTTGACAAATAAATAAAATCTTACAAAACACAAAAATAAGAGCTTTCCCTTTTTACTTTATTAGGATACAAGGAGAAAAAGTTCTATTAAAAATTCAACTGCCCTAAAGGTCTAGATGTTCAAGGACAGGAAATATTTCAAAGCAAACCCACGCTTTCTTTTTTTTTCTTTGTTCTTTTTTTTAGAGACGGAGAGAGAGGGGGAGGGGGAGAATCTTAAGGGGGGGGGGAGCTCCATGCCCAGCACAGAGCCCGACATGGGACTCGGATCTCACAACCCTGAGAGATCATGACCTGAGCCAAAATCAAGAGTCGGACACTTAACCAACTGAGCCACACTGACGCCCCATGCTGTTTCATTTTTATACTCTCTTTGGCTTGCTCATCCACCTGGTCAATATTAAATATTTTGTAAACTAGTTCAAGTAAACCTGTATGAACTTCTGTATGAAAAAAATACACTGGATGTAAGTGAAAAAAGTAGCCAATATATCTATCTGTATGAGAATATTTTATAAGTCATAGAAAGACTGGGGGCAGGAATGGGAGGGACATGAAGGACAACCTTCACTTTTAAGACATATTCTGGATCTACAATCACATGTAATGTATCTAGACTGATGACTGCTTTCCAATTTTTATACATCATTTTTTCCCCCTATTTGAATTGGCCAGAACTGCTGGAATAATGTTAATAATAATGGGGACCACTGTTATTCCTGTTAAATGAGAATTGCTTACAGTCAATGGTAGGAATAATGCAAGCTTTTACCATAAAATTTATTTCCTGTTATGTTAAATATCAAGTAATTCCTGTTTTATTAAGAGTTGTTTCTTAAAAAAACAAGAACAACTCAGAGTTGATGGTTAATTTTACCAAATTCTTTTTCGGCTTGAGAGAAAATCATGTTTCTCTTTTGTACTGTTAAAAACAAGGCATTTAGTATTTCCCAATACTGATGTATTTAGTATTTCCTGATACTTCATAATGAGAACTTGGTCATTGTGTATTATTCTCTTTGCTAAATTACATTTGCTAATTTTTTAGGATTTTTGTAATTTGAAAATGGTCTAGAGCTTAGGGTTTTTAATATTTTTTCAGAATCTGGTATCAAAATAATATTTCAAAAAATAACTTAGAAAACCTTTCCCTTTTTCTATATTCTGGAACAAGTTAAAAAGCACTGCAGTTATAATGTTCCTTAGAAGGTTGCCTGGGCCTCACAGTGCTTTTTTGTACACCCGGTTTTGAAATTTACCTGCACACAATTTAGCAATATGTCCACTTACATTTAATTTCCTAAATACCTGTGATTCATTCTCATATTCTGTGTGCGTTCATACACAGGTGACATTTCTAAGTTCTCCTTTTGTTCATGATTAGGCTCAACAGTTTGTCTGCTTAATATTATTACCAACATCTTCAAAAATACAAGTAAGTAAAAAAGCCAAATCTCCTGGATTTATTAGTACCTCCATGTATGTTTTCTAAATTCATCAATTTCTGCTTTTATATTTGCTAGTATCTTCTTTCTACTTTCTTTCCATTTTTTGTGGTTTTTTTTTTTTTTAGTAACTTCTTGGGCTGGACTATTTTACTATCTCATTCTTTTCTTGCTTAGTAGTTTACTTTTATTTATAAATTTTCCTCGGAGTACTGCTTTAGTCATATCCCAGAGGTACTAACACAGAATTTTGATTATCAGTACTTTCTAGTTAATCTGGACTGGAGTTTTCAATTTTTCCTTTGGCCCAAGGGTTAATTTTCTCAGATGGCAAAGTTTTATAGTTTCTTTCGCTTTAGTTCTAGTTAAGAATAGAGCATAATCTGCATCTATCTCTGCTTTTTGAATTTGACTGATACTTTCTTTGGGGTCTAATAGGTATGCTTGAAAAAGAATGTTTCCAGGGTATGTTGTTATTCCATTTATCATGCTATTAACCTTTTACTTTTTTTACTTTTTAATTTTTTTTTTTTAAAGATTTTATTTATTTGACAGAGAGAGACACAGCGAGAGAGGGAACACAAGCAGGGGGAGTGGGAGAGGGAGAAGCAGGCTTCCCGCCAAGCAGAGAGTCCGATGCGGGGCTCGATCCCAGGACCCTGGGATCATGACCTGAGCCAAGGCAGACGCTGAACGACTGAACCGCCCAGGCACCCCAACCTTTTACTTTAAAAGTCTTCTGATCATGGGTCAGCAAACTGGCTTTCAGGACAAATGTGGTCCACTACCTGTTTTTGTAAATAGTTTTATTGGAAGACTGTCCTGTTCATTCATTTACATGTTATCTATGGCTGCTTTCACACCGTTGTCAGTAGAGCGGAGTACTTGCAAAAGAGACTGGATGGTCACCACACCTAAAAAATTCACTAAGTAAGTAAATATACAATAAACTTACTAAAATATTACTTGCTGGTCCCTTTTCAGATGTCTCTCTTAATGGATTTAACTTTTTTGCTCCAATCTGTCACTTTCTTCTAATAAATTAGTTTACCCAATTTATAATTTTGTATTTGTTTATATGACAAATAGTTTGTCATAATTTTATCTTTTTAATCCTTTTACTTTTTATTACATATTTCACTATATAGTCTGTTTTCTTGGAAGATTTATAGTCTATGTCCTTTAGATAACATCTCTTTACTCCACATTAAGAAAATTAGTATATAGTTGACCCTTGAACAATGCAGGAATTCGGTGCACCAACACCCTACTTGGTCAAAAAACCAAGTATAACTTTTGATCTTACTTACCTACTAAGAGCCTACTGTTGACGAGAAGCTTTACTGATAATATAAAGAGTTGATTAATACATATTTCTCATGTATACATCTTACATACTATATTCTTATAATAAAGTAAGCTTAAGAAAATCATAAGGAAAATACATTTACAGTACTGTATTTATAGAAAAAAAATCCAGCTTGGACCTGCACAGTTCAAACCACGTTGTTCAAGGGTCAGCTGCACTTAGCATTATTATGATTGATCTCATGTTATGAATGATGAGAAAAATTTTCATTTTTGTAACCATCTACCCAATCCCCAACTCTGAATTTTTCCCTTGTGTTTCTACATTGCCACAATATTAATATTAGTTCTACATTTAAATTTATTTAATGCTAATCACTAATCCTTTTAACTCAGGTTTCAACTCATCTCTTGATTCAAAAGTTTATAATATCCTCCCTTCTCCAGCCCTGTCCCCCACCCTCCCCTGACCTGCACGGCTGACTTAATGAGAACTAAGCCCCCTAGTTTTTCTGTTTGGAAACATGTGTCAATTGATATTAAACTATAGCTTTCCTGGACGTAAAATTCGTGGGTCATATTTTTTTATCTAGTGACTGGTGTTTTTCCATGTGTGACAGAATGGAAAAGCCTGTAAGGCCAGCCTCTTATTTTATAGGGGGCTTGATTTTTCTTTTTTTTTCCATTTTGACCCAATAATAGTCTTTACATTTAAAGACTAGAAACCATTCTAAAATGTCAGGTCTTTTATTGTG